TAATAAGTTCTATGTCGGGCAAACATCTAAAGATTTAAAATGTAGAATATCGCAACATAAATACTCTGTAAGACATGGCCAATTATCTAATGCTTTGTTTGTGCATTTGTCAGAAAAAGCTCACCAAATTGATTGGGAGAGTGCGTCTTCAATAACAAATTGTAAAAGCACCTATAACAGAAACATAATTGAATCCGCTTTGATACAGATCACCAAAGAAAGTAATTTGAATATTAGCAGTGGTCTATATAACTTAGATCCATTTCTAATAGATCAGCTAAAGGGCGATTTAAGTAGAATCATTGAAAAACATTTGTCTCACTAATTTATTGTATATATTTACCTCTTTATGTTATAATTTCCTATGTATTATGCTTGTATGTCTGCTGTATCAGATGGGCCATTGGGCTACATCGGATGGGCCAATTGGGTGCATCTGATGGGCCAATGGGCCTTCTGCGTTGTCCAAGTATTGTACCTCACCTTACTTCACCACTCTCTCCTGCCTATTTATACCCATCACTCGATCTGTAAAATGACCTTCTGAAGATGTATTTAATATACGAAAGTACTTAAGGAAATTTCCTGTTTCATTTTTCCTCCGTGGTCTGACATTGTCATATATATATATATATATATATATATATATATATATATATATATATATATATATATATATATATATATATATATATATATGTACACAGGTACATTATTGCATGTATGTACACACTACCCCTATTATTTGCATGTACAAAGCTACATTATAAATACACAATTTGAATACACATATACAGTCATACGCATTAATACAGAGCTTGGGAATGATATGAAAATACTGGTAACCTGGAGCAAATTGTTTGATCCTCTAGTGCCTAAGAAGCCAAGTTATTTATAAATACCCTTTTTGTTATTAATATGTTTTTTGAGTTTATATTAAAACCGTCATTGGTCCAGTCGGTAGAGCGTATTCCTGAGGAATTCAGGTGCGCAGGTTCGATCCCATCATATGGCTTCTATTTACTTTCTGGTAGAGATATTACAGTCGTGTGGTTTTCTTGTCCTTATTATCGTCACTAGAACGAGAGAAGGACACTAGAGTTCCCATCCTTCCTCCCGGCGAGAATAGCTTGAGCTACCTCATCCCTTTGTGTGTATTTATACTTTAATTAACTTTATTTCAATTTCCCTCCCATTTAGAGTGTGAACTTAAAGTGACAGGAAGTTTATAGTTCCTGTTTATAGTTCCTATATAGTTTATAGTTACTAATATTCATTTAGAATTTTTGTATCATACATTTATGAATAATTATTTATCTTTGTAACATACGAATTAAACAAAATTAGTTATGTTTCACAAGCTTGCAATACATATCCGTAACGTCCAATTTTTGAGTCAGAAATTGCTACTGGGTTAAATTGATTTTACTTGTGCATATAATTCCCTACTACTCGGCCACATTACCCCTCTATGATATTGGTCCACACAGCTCTACTTGGTCTGATTTCCCCCTTATTTTTGGCCTCATACCCTCGACTACCCTCTACTACAGTTTTCTCGATACTTGGCCACACCTGTTCAGAGTGTTGTTGTGAGGTCGGGTAGTTGGTTACCGTCCCACACGATACAAATTTGTTGTCAACTAATACAATAAGAGAATTCACGTCCAATGACTGTCTAAGCATTGAACCAACCTTCACAGTAATGGAAAAGAGGGCTAAGAACTCTTCAATATTAACTACGAATCTCAGTTGATATTTACGAATCTTGATATTTCCTCAACAATTATTCATAGTTGATAAGATGTATGATATTCATATGTTTTGTGTATGCTGATATCAATGAATAATAAATGAATGACCTTTTAATCCTCGACCTTCTCAGAAAACCGAGGGTTTCAGTGCAAAGAATTATGGGATGACCATCTCAGATGGAAAGGAAATGGGTCGTTCCACAAAACTTCAAGTTCACAGTAATTTGGCAATTGGGAACCGATTCATATCTTTACAGAACACACACACACACATACTGTTCACCTAGCAGTAAATAGGTACCTGGGAGTTAGATAGCTGCTACGGGCTGCTTCCTGTGTTTTGGTGTATGTGTGTGTGGGGGGGGGATCAGTTGATTGATTGATTGATTGATTGACAGTTGAGAGGCGGGCCGAAAGAGCAGAGCTCAACCCCCGCAAGCACAAGTGGTGAATACACACACACACACACACACACACACACACCACTCTAACATATCTATGGCTCGGTTGGTTCTCAGTCGTCTGTTCATTATATGAAATTAGCCACATACTCGATATCTTTAAACTGGATAAACTCTAATTATACATCTTTCAGATAGCAGTTACTGTAGATATGATTTTGCACACAAATGAAGAATTTTGAGAAGCTTACCCGATACTGGCGTTCGATCCCACCACACAACAAGGTCGTTAGCGGCGTTCCGTCTGCCTGTTAAATTACCTCTCTTGCCCTTTTCACTTCTTTGTTTCTTCACATATAATTATATTCTTTCTTATTTCTTATTTATAATTACCCAGTCTTCCATTTTCCTCCCGCTTGTAATTATCGGCATTTCACGTGACACCTTACAAGTCTGGCAATTAGGTTGAAAACACTGTGGAAACCACTGTGAAGGTTGCAGGCGATGAGTCACAATAACGTGGCTAAAGTAAGTTGACCAGACCACACACTAGAAGGTGAAGGGACGACGACGTTTCGGTCCGTCCTGAACCATTCTCATGTCGATTCTGTAACTGCGGCAACTGTGAAGGTTACCACTGTCTCGACCTCCTTCCTCCTGGGAAGGGTTTTAACTACTGCACTAAATATTCACTGGCACGTGTCTTAACACAATGTCTGTTATTACCCACCAAAAAATTGCGCATATCGATTGCGACCTCGAGCACCGTGAGTCAGTGAGTGAGTCAGTGAGTGAGTCAGTGAGTGAGTCAGTGAGTGAGTCAGTGAGTGAGTCAGTGAGTGAGTCAGTGAGTCAGTCAGTGAGTCAGCGAGTCAGTGAGTGAGTCCGTTAGTCGTGTGCCTATCTGTGAAGGCTGGGATTCGACGTGTCTATCGACGAGTGAGGGTTTGCTTGAAAAAACAACCAGCTCTTCAGCCCAGGTGCGATGAAACAGCGGCCCTCCCCCCCCCCCTCCCTAAACACCACCTTCATCAATTTTAATCTAATGTTTTATAGAAATAGGTTTATTCTCACATTTACATTAATATTATTATTCACTGAAGTTCTGTGTATATTTAGGCGTAGGTTAGGTTAGGTGTTGAGGTTCTGTAGGCAATTATTTGTATTTGAAGTTCGTGGATGAGGCATTTACAGCATTGTGTTTCGAACAGAGGTCGTCGGCGAAGCACTTTTCGAGAAATGTTCGAAGATCATCAGTTGTGAGTCGTGTGTAAACAATTTTTCCTTCATAAACCAACCCGTCCTCGACTCAAGTCCATTACATCTAGCGGTCGACCCCACAGACGCATTCATAAATTTTAATATGCTGTTCATTCAAAACGGGAATTTTCTCAAGTATAAATTAATATTATAATATATTAGCATATTGTGCATAGGTTAGGTTAGGTTAGGTTAGGTGTTTAGGTTCTGTTGGCGATTATTTGTATTTGTAGTACGTGGGTGAAGCATTTATAGCGTTGTGATTCGAACAAAATTCGTCAGTGAAACACTTGTTCCGGATATGTTCGAACGTCAGCAGTTGTGAGTCGTGTGTAAACCACTTTTCATTCATAAACAGGGGGTTTGGCGGGTGCATGGAATCACCTTTGGATCTTTGTTTGGAGGACGGGCTGCATAAACAGGGTGTTTGGCGGCTGGGTTAACGATCGAGGGTTCGCTCAAAGTGTCAATCAGGGAGGGGGAAGGGGGTGTCGGTCAACGAGGGTCGGGTAGCGAAGGTTAGTTCGACGCGTCGGTCAAGAGAGTGTTTGCTAAAACATCATTGTCCAAACAGCCGTTGTACAGTCTTCATCCAGTCAAAAATAACAAAAACAAACAAAACCTTTTATTCCTTCATTCTATTTTCGTTGTATACCTGACTATCCCCACGGCTCAGCTGGCATCACTGAAACAAATACAAAATAATAACAATAAATCTTTTTAATCACTGTGATATATATATATATATTTTTTTTAATCCAATAAATACCAATACACAGTAGAGTCACATTTTTATGAAGGTACTACTGTTTTTGTGATGCGTCAGTTGACCTCTGGGTCGAAATATGTTCAATTTCATAGTTGAATGACCTCTTAATCAACCATGACAGTTGACATTTTTGCTCAGATATCCAATGATAATTGGATGGGGGGCTGAAGGTCCCTTACAGGCAGCGAGAAGAGAATGAACTGGCACATCTGGAGAGGAAAAGCCCCCCGGGAGGCTGTTGGTCTGCGGGAACTGCCGCCCCCTGCCACTGATTATCTCCTTCAGGAATGTCACCGTCGACAAGGGGGAAATGAAACGGTAGAGATTACATTATGCAACAGCTGCTTGTCAAATTAGTTTGTACGTTAGAGTGTGGAAGCGAGGAAGGGCGGAAGGGAGAGAGAGAGAGAGAGAGAGAGAGAGAGAGAGAGAGAGAGAGAGAGAGAGAGAGAGAGAGAGAGAGAGAGAGAGAGAGAGAGAGAGAGAGAGAGAGAGAGAGAGAGAGAGAGAAGCAGCAGCAGCAGCTGTCTCCTGGTTTCCTAAAATAGTACACACCCTACTAGATATACACCAGAACAGTGCGTCAAGCTCACGAGCTCATCATTAATGAGTTCTGCTCAAAAGCTCACTATCAGTGAATTATGAAACACAAAAAGTTCCCCTTCAGCAAGTTATGTTAACAAACCCACCATCTTGAGATGATTTCGGAGCTTAGAGTCCCCGCGGCCCAGTCCTCGACCTGGCCTCCTTTTTCTTACACACCCTCAGGAAGCAGCCCGTAGCAGCTGCTTAACTCTCAGGTACCTGTTTACTGCTAACTGAACAGGCCCATCAGGGCGAAAGAAACTTTGCCCATTTGTTTCCGCCTCCTCCGAGGATCGAACTCGGAACCTCAGGACTACGAATCCTTAGCGCTGTCCTCTCAGCTGTCAGGCCCTTTTGCCAGTGTTTACACCTGAATATTTTGTTTGAAGAGTCAAGACGCTAACAAAAATATAAACTACAATCATCATATTCAGTGTGTTTGCCTATGTTTAGAGATGACACTGTATTGTAATTTGTGTTTGTTATTGACATCACATAGTGTAATTAAGAAAATCAATAAGAACAGAAGAATAATGAATAAACTAATGAAAACTTACTGGCTCATACGAGGCAGGACCTAAATTGTATACTTAAGTTATAATAGACTTTTGTAAAGATTTTATTACCGCTTCATATGAGAGACTGATAAGGACAGTAGAAACGGAGGGAATCAGAGAAACTTCTCTTAAAACTGTTTCAGGGGAAGTCATTGCAGAGACGGCCAGAATAAATTGTTTAGATACAGAAACGAACATCAACATTTGTAAATCTGGGGATGACACTGAAACGAATACAGACGAAGATTCAGTAACAGGAGAACAAAGACACGCTTTTCCAAAATGGACTGAAAATAATCAAATTTGATTCAGTGCTGATAAGTGGAGGGTTCTTACATAGGAAAATAAAGCACAGGTGCCAGATATCCACTAAACAAAAGTGAAATTGTGAAATCAGATTGTGAGAAGGAATGTGAGTTATTATTAGTAAGATTCTGAAACCCAAGAAGTCAATGCATAAATTTTAGAAATAAGGCCAATAGAGTGCTAGGATTCATATCCAGAAATATTAGTCAAAAACTCACTTTCAACTTTATCCGGACTTGGATTATGCTGCAAAGTTTTGAGCACCGTACTATAAAATTAATGTAAATTCTCGTAAGATTATTCAGAGAAGATGGGTAAGTTAATCATGGGAATTTGGAATCTGTCGTATGAAGAGAGATTATGGAGACTCAATTTACATTACATGAAATGGCTGAAGAGCAAGAGGAGATATGACTGAAGTTTACAATTGAATGAACGGATTTAAGAAGGGAGATATAAAAATAGGTTCTAACAATATATATGTACAAAGGCTCGAACACGAGACAGCACATTTAAATGGGATTTGTTTTGATTGGACAATCACGTGATTGTTTAAATGTAGATGAGCGGTGCTTTGCGTAGTCAAAAGGCCTTCTGGATATTGCTTTATCCTTAGGTTCCTGTAACAACAAGGAGTACACTATCGGGTTGTGATCATAAGTTCACTATCAGAAAGTTATATTCACAATCAGGAGACGATCAGCGATGAACGTTCTCAGGTTAATCAATATCATTGGTTGTGAAAACACGGTCACTATCAGTGAGTCATGATAACAGGCCTGCTTTTAGTAAATCATGTTCATAGAACCATTAATAACTGGATCAAAATCACAAGCTTACAAAGAGTACCGGTAGTCATGATCCCCCAAACCATTCTCAGTTATCATCATCACAAAGCCTCCGAGATAACTAACTGGCCTTATTTTCCAGATTTTATGTTTAGGCAAACGTCAGGAATAATCACCCAACCTTCAGACATAACAACAAGCTCTAATGTACTCGGTGGCGATCGTAAGAGGTAGTTTATACGAGTTTTAAATATATATATTAAACAACTGCTATCTCATAATTTGTTTAGTTATTGGGAGCTCTTTTGTGCTGAAATTTAACTATATTATTGTCTTACAACATTCATCATAGTAACATTCCCCCTTTAGCCTACGTAATATACATGTTTACATTGGATAAATCCTATATAACATCTCTTACACAAAAAAGTATTTTTTTTCAGGCAGATGGTTTTAAATACACATTGTTTGGTTACGTATAAATTGACAGACGTTGGGAACTACTGTTCTTTCCGACTTCTGTACACTAGAGACTGATCATTGGGAGATACTCTACATGTATAAAGTCCCATTTGATTTTGTGCGCTTGTTTGGTTATGATTTAAGTAAACTAGTTTAGTGTTTGCGTTAAATAGCGGGCAGTGAAGCAGGAGTTTCAAATCCTGCGTTTGTTCCGTCTATCGAGCAATCAACATGTATGTGATTGTCTCTGGGTTGTAAACACTCATGTGACGACTCTCTGATTGTTGTACGAGTCAGCACTGATGCTCCTGCTCTTGTTCTGGGCTTGTGAGAGCGTGCTGGTAACTAGGGCTCTTGACGTAGGTGGAGAGAGTGCGAATGGAGCAAGGTGTGGCCACGGCTGACGGCGTGGGTCCCCCGTACGGGCCCGCCATATTGTCCGACATCGAATGCGATCTCACGTGTCGGTGGTCAAAATTGTAGTCACACTTAAGGATTTTGATAAACGCCGCCTTGAAGGTGCGATTAAAGATAGTATAGATGATGGGGTTGATGGTGGAGGAGACGTAGCCGAGCCACAGACACACGTTGGCCACGTGGTCATTCACGTGGCAGGTCGGGCACGCCGCGAAGTATATGTTGAGGATAAAAAACGGTGTCCAACATATAACGAAGGCAAAGAAAACTAGACCGAGCACTTTCGAAGCTTTCTGCTCGTTAGCGACGGCGTTGGCGGCTAAGGCGTCCCTTTTTCTCGTCGGCAGAAAGCGGAGATGCCACGCAGCGGTTCCAACGAGCTGTAAGCGTAGAGCTTTCAACTTAAAGTTTCTCGTTTCACGAGCGATAGACTCCGGCGTCTGGGTCGCTTGCTCGCATTTGTGAATGTTGGAGAACTCGTAATGGCCGGCGTGACCGTTGGAGTACGACCCCCGGTACGAGGTTCTCGGGGTGAAGGCGAAGGAATGGGTTGTCTGCTGGTGTTTCCGTCGAACGGAGCGATACCTGCCCATGGTCCGCGCTTTGCCCGCCGGCGCGTCCCCGGCGAATTTGGCCTTCTTGCGGAGCAGGTGAACAGTGAGGGCGTAGCTGACCACCATGATGACCATGGGGATGTAGAAGGCGCACAGGGACCCGAAGATGAAAAAGGTCTGGTTGTTGATGGTGCAGACGTAGTCGGCGGGCATGATGTTGGTGGTGTCGATGATGCCCAAGACGGTGATGAGGGAGGTCACCAGCATGGCCAACAGCCACACCAACACCACCTTCACACCCACAGTCTGAAAGAGGGCAAAGAGCGTTAGCTATCAACGATGTTAGAGAATCAGACGCACCGATCAACGATGCGAGAGAATCAGACGCACCGATCAACGATGCGAGAGAATCAGACGCACCGATCAACGATGCGAGAGAATCAGACGCACCGATCAACGATGCGAGAGAATCAAACGCACCGATGAACGATGTTAGAGAATCAGACGCACGTCATGATCCACGGAATCGTAATCGTCGCTCCGTTTCCGTTCAGCTGTGACATTGTTACAGACATGGAGGCTGCTAAACTATTCTCAATATAATGAATAAACAGGCGATTCAATTCCATTACAAGTTTATATGATTATTATTCACGAAAAAGCATTTCAGGTATAACTGAGTCATATTTACATTTTTTTTAATTTATGTAAATTATGTAAAAATTTAATTAATGTAATTTTTTTAAGACAGTGGGACTTTAAAAAGGTTGCTCCAGTGGATCTTTAGAAAGACTGTTCCAGTAAGTCATCGAAAAGACTTCTAGTTAGTCTTCAAAAAGGTTCCAGTGGTGTTTAAAATACTATTTCAGGGGTTCTTCAGAAATAATTTTCTAGTGGGTCTTTTAAAATTGTTCTAGTGGGTCTTCTGAATGACTATTCCAGTGAGTCCTCAGAAAGGCTGTTCCAGTAATCAACTCAAACAAATTCAATGCAAATTTGTATTGATATCCGTGATAAAATCAACGTTTCAAGCAATATATTCCATCGACAATCCTGAAGCCATTCATTATGGATTGAATCCGCTCAAACATATGCATATACTGACCCTCTAATGTACTGTACATTGTGCTACTTCCTATGTAAAGTTTCACCAGTTAAAATATCTTAAAAAAAAACTCGTGATCTCTACATTGAAAATTGTTAGAATACTACAACGCATCTTCCTAAAATGACCGTACTTATATTAAGTATTTGGTGGGAAGTAACAATATGGATCACCAGTAAAGCACTTGTTTGTACCAAACCACTTCAGATTGTATAGCTCAGAAAAAATAAAGCTAAAACCAAAAATAAATATTCTTAGGCCTAATATAGTACATATATGTACTATATTAGGCCTAAGATAGCGTGTATTAGGCCTAAGATTGATTAAGAGAGATTAAGCTAGATTTTATATTTATGTTGCAGTTTTAAAAAAAAGTTTTCGGTTTGTCCAAATTCAATAAAACAAAAGTCAACTTTCTGGTGGTCCATCACTACATATTGGGACTTTCTACTAAATAGTTTCTATACGCACTTCCATTTTAGGAGGATGGGGCTCGAATATTAAGATAAAATAAATTTAAAGATGTATAAAAATTAAGACTTACAATATACTTTCAATATATTGAAATAATTACTTACTGAGGTGTAAAACTTGTTTTGTTTTAAATACATTTGACGTTTCAAAGCGGGTGTATGTGTGACTTTTAGGTGCAATGTTCACGTGGGCATGTGCAAGCATTACTAGTCATGAATATCAATACTTTTTATTACGCTCAAATTAACCAATGGCGCATCTGGAAGCAAAGATCAATGTGGAGTAGGTTCTATATGTACTCGACCCCTTGAGACCCATCACTCCCCTCACCCTGAAAGCAGGCGTCATTCAGGTGTGCGAATCATTATCCTGCCTTCAGGTATAGAATTAAAAGTGTCAGTGTCTTGAATATATGGCTGCTGAATCCTTGCGATAACCAAATTTGCAGCAAGCGATTATGTATTTTATGATCAAATGCAGGACGAGGGAGAGAGAGAGAGAGAGAGAGAGAGAGAGAGAGAGAGAGAGAGAGAGAGAGAGAGAGAGAGAGAGAGAGAGAGAGAGAGAGAGAGAGATAACTGAGAATAGAGTCGAAGAAAATGAAATTGGAAAAACGATAGGAACTTCTATTACCAGAGGAGCAGGAAGCGAGGCGGGGGCGCGGGGCACCACGGGCCCAGGCAGACATGAGCCCCGGGAGGCTGAAGCAGGGAGGGAATGGTGGGAATCTGAGAACCCGTAACTTGGGCTTTGAAACCTGAGCTTATAGGGACTTCAGATCAGCAACTTGGTTATTGGTATTTCTGACCTGTGGTACATGGGGTTCGTGGGGGTTCGAGAGCTGGAAGTGGGCATTTGGTACCCTCAAACTTGGCATCTACAAAACCTTAGAATTACCTCAGTGTTCCACAATGTTGTCTGAGAATTTGTGACAGTCTAGCTGAAAATTGCAGTAAGTTCAGCGTTACAGCAAATAACGTTCTCTCTCTCAAAAAAAAAAAAAAAAAAAACGCTCGCTCTTTCCCTCCCTCCCTCTCCCTCTCAAAAAAGTGTCAGCAACCAAATAATAATTACAATAATTATAATAATTAGTAAATCAATTGGAGTAATGCTGGGATCAATACCAGCGACCTGGGTACTCTAAGCTGCACACCTTACCCACGTCGCTGGTTCGAATCTCCAAATTGCTCCAATTGATTTCACGTTAGTGTGATATCTTTGTATAACAACAACAACAACAATAATAATAATAATAATTACTACTACTACTACTAACAATAATAATAATAATCGTTGTGAGAAAATTAGTAGGAGTCATAAGGAGGATGCGAACCCGCACACTTGGCACTGCCAAGCACACGCCCTGGAGAGAATAAAAGGTTTACCTCCAGCTCCTGGACCCCAATCAGAGTCCATGGCGGAGGGAGGGGGTCAATGCGTGAAACCCCTGTCTGAGCTTCATTGGAAGCCTCAGGAACCCTAGAGGATTCAGCTGAATCCCATAATGCATTGTTGTTACCATGTCGTGGTGTAGGGCGTGGGCTTGAGGAATGGAAAGTGTGCACGTTCGAAGATTCCTCATTGCTCCTGCCGATTCACTCAGTGACACATCACCTTAATGTGATTTCTTTGTGAAATAATTGTTACACAAACGAAAAATTCCCTAATAATAATACAAATTACTATTATTATCGAACGGGCACTGAGGCTTAAGGGGAAAATCTGTGATCTGAAATTGGGAAAAATGACTGCATGACTTTGACTGATTGATTGATAAAGATTAAACCACCCAAGAGGTGGCACGGGCATGAATAGCCCGTAAAAAAAAGGAGTCTGGGGCAGAGTGATCTATATATATATATATTTATACCTTCTTACTGCTGCTGCGGGTCTTGAGCGGGTTGCGTATGCCTAGGTACCGCCCCAGCGAGATGGTGCACATGTGCATGATGCTGGAGGTGCACGCCAGCACGTCGCACGTCACGTAGATGTTGCAACCGACTAAGCCGAAGGGCCAGTACCCTGTCAGGGGGGGAAGGGGAAGACGTACAGGAGGGGTGATCACGTGTGTATATCAATGCACTCTTTCATAATTACAAATATTATATATATATATATGCATTTTCAGTCAGAGACTATGTATATCAGTTATACATAAGTATATATTATAGCAGAGAACTCACCCCAGGATAACACAAATTCATATCATAGCAGAGAATTCATCCCAGGATAGCCAAAAACATATTCATAACACAGCACACTCAACCCCAGGATAACACATTGCTCCTACGCCTATCACATAACTAAGAGAGGAAGAGAAGCTACCTCGATTTATGTCCGCTCGCTAATGAATGGCGAGAATTAAACTACAGAGTCATATATATATATATATATATATATATATATATATATATATATATATATATATATATATATATATATATATATATATATATATATATATATATATGTGTGTGTGTGTATATCACGAAAATAAACACGTGATTAAAAATGTGACAATGTCAGACCACGGAGGAAAAAATGAAACAGGAGTTTCCTTAAGTACTTTCGTATATTAATACATCTTCAGAAGGAGTCCTTCTGAAGACTCCTTCTGAAGATGTATTAATATACGAAAGTACTTAAGGAAATTCCTGTTTCATTTTTTCCTCCGTGGTCTGACATTGTCATATATATATATATATATATATATATATATATCACATCAGGTCTAAATATGAGAGAGTCACATCCGTTTTCTATTGTGCAAAACCTCACACAAGAGAATGGGAATCCCAGAAATATTATGTGGAGGGGGGGGGGTACTTTTGAGTTCTTATGACTTATAATGACTGCGTATGAGGAAAATATAGGGGAAGGTGGGTAATCTGGGCGCTGGTAGACTGATAAAAGTGTGTGTCCGACCCTGACAAGCCTGTCAATTGTTATTTTCTAACCAGTCCCATCTGTCAATCATTATTTCCTAGCCTCTCTCGACTGTCAATCACTGTTTTCTAACCTATCTCATCTATCAATCATTGTTTCCAGGTCAGTCAATCATTGTTTCCTGACCTGTCAAGCATTGATTCATATCCTCTTAATCATTGATTCTTAACCTGTCACTCATTGCATCCTTATCTATCCAGCATGTCAATCATTGATTCTTAACCTGTCACTCATTGCATCCTTATCTATCCAGCATGTCAATCATTGCATCCTTATCTATCCAGCATGTCAATCATTTGTCAATCATTACTTTGTTTAACAATAATCGAGCTGTTTCAGAAGAAGCCAAGCGGGATTAGGTCACAGGGAACTAAAGAATTACCCCCCAGTTCCTGACACAAAACCAGGTAAGGACAGATATGTGCGGTCATAAGCATTTCGAAGGCAGATATGTGGGGGTCATAAGCCATGTTGAGGCAGGTATGTTGGGGTCAAAAGCCATGTTAAGGCAGATATGTGGGTGCCTGTGTCCAGCCCCCAGCAAAACCTTTATTTAAGCCATCGTTGACCCAGAAACACGCGCCATTATCTTTAGACTTTTCGACCCTTTTGAAGGAAGGAGAGAGAGAGAGAGCGCGCGAGAGAGAGAGAGAGAGAGAGAGAGAGAGAGAGAGAGAGAGAGAGAGAGAGAGAGAGAGAGAGAGAGAGAGAGAGAGAGAGAGAGAGAGAGAGAGAGAGACAGCGACAGTGAGAGACAGAGAGAGAGAGAGAGAGAGCGACAGTGAGAGACAGAGAGAATTTATGCATACAAACATACATGCATACACATATACATACATATATACATAAATCTATACATATACTCACCCACCAATACACGCGTAAAACATTATACATGCATATGTATCCAGCGCGGTCAGTTCCTTAAGCCCCAGAGAGCGTCGCTGACAATAGAAATAATTTCTGAAGGTGTAACAGGCAACAGCCCCTGCCGCCCCTCACCCTACAGGGGCAGCCCTGCCGCCCCTCACTCTACAGGGACACCCCTGCCGCCCCTCACCCTACATGGGCACCCCTGCCGCCCCTCACCCTACATGGGCACCCCTGCCGCCCCTCACCCTACAGGGGCACCCCTGCCGCCCCTCACCCAGCAGGGACACCCCTGCCGCCCCTCACCCAGCAGGGACACCCCTGCCGCCCCTCACCCTACAGGGGCACCCCTGCCGCCCCTCACCCTACAGGGGCACCCCTGCCGCCCCTCACCCAGCATGGACACCCCTGCCACCCCTCACCCTGCAGGGACACCCCTGCCGCCCCTCACCCTACAGGGGCACCCCTGCCGCCCCTCACCCTACAGGACACCCCTGCCGCCCCTCACCCTACAGGGGCACCCCTGCCGCCCCTCACCCTGCAGGGACACCCCTGCCGCCCCACACCCTACAGGGACACCCCTGCCGCCCCTCACCCTGCAGGAACACCCCTGCCGCCCCTCACCCTGCAGGGACACCCCTGCCGCCCCTCACCCTGCAGGGACACCCCTGCCGCCCCTCACCCTGCAGGGGCACCCCTGCCGCCCCTCACCCTACAGGGACACCCCTGCCGCCCCTCACCCTACAGGGGCACCCCTGCCGCCCCTCACCCTGCAGGGACACCCCTGCCGCCCCACACCCTACAGGGCACCCCTGCCGCCCCACACCCTGCAGGGACACCCCTGCCGCCCCTCATCCTGCAGGAACACCCCTGCCGCCCCTCACCCTGCAGGGACACCCCCTGCCGCCCCACACCCTGCAGGGACACCCTGCCGCTCCTCACCCTGCAGGGATACCCCTGCCGCTCCTCACCCTGCAGGGACACCCCCTGCCGCCCCTCACCCTACAGGGACACCCCCTGCCGCCCCACACCCTGCAGGACACCCCTGCCGCCCCTCACCCTGCAGAGACACCCCTGCCGCCCCTCACCCTGCAGGGACACCCCTGCCGCCCCTCACCCTGCAGGAACACCCCTGCCGCCCCTCACCCTGCAGGGACACCCCTGCCGCCCCTCACCCTGCAGGAACACCCCTGCCGCCCCACACCCTGCAGGGACACCCCTGCCGGCCCTCACCCTGCAGGGACACCCCTGCCGCCCCACACCCTGCAGGGACACCCCTGCCGGCCCTCACCCTGCAGGGACACCCCTGCCGCCCCTCACCCTGCAGGAACACTATACACACTGATTATGTTATTTTTAGCAAAGGCCTGGCGCAGGCGGGAGGCAGGAGGAAGAGCAGCCGGGTAAAGCAGAGGAGCAACAAGAGAATGGGTGAAAAGGAGAGAAAAGGGACGAGCAGGAAAAATTAGGAAATATAGGGATGAATAGATGTAAGGGGAAGAGAAGCGAAGGGCGATAGACAGGCAAATGGAGAAAGAGGAGGAATCGATGGATGACAAAGATGCACTTTGAGAAGGTGGAGGAAGTGTGGGGGGCGTGGGGCTGGAGGTGTGGGGGGCGTGAGGACTGGATGTGTGGGGGTGTGGGGCTGGAGGTGTGGGGGTGTGGGGCTGGAGGTGTGGGGGGCGTGAGGACTGGAAATGTGGGGGTGTAGGGCTGGAAGTGGGTAATGTTGGGATGGAGGTGGGTAGTGTGGAGTACAGATGGGTTGTATAGGGTGCAGGTGTGTGGGGTGGTGTGGGTTGGAAGCGGTAATTGAGGTGAGCAGATGGATGGTGTTGGCTGCAGGTGGAGTATGGTGTAGGTGGTTGGTGTAGGGTGGAAGTAGTGGTGGGATACACGTGGGGGGTGTAGGCACGGCAACTGTATTGGGGAAAGGGGTAAAAAGGCGAAGTTTTTTTTTGTCTAGACTCGGCACTATTTAAGTATACCCTAGAATATCAAATTAATGAAAACTTAGCCTTCC